CGATCAAAGGGTTAACTGTGTGCTGCTTCACTATGGGGGCTGTGTGTGCTTCACCATAAGCACACTGCTTTGTATGACTCTGCTAACCACAAATCAGTGTGCAGGAGCTGACAAGGGAGAGATCTGTGTTGATACTCGACGATCGCTTGGTGCAAGCAGGGAATCACCGGCCGGGACCTGGTGATCGACAGCTGAAGCAGCCAATGGCTAGCCCCCAGGGGCGGACTGACCATTCAAGCACTATATATTGCCATTTGTAGACGTTGTAACGTTCACGTAAAACCAATTAATTTACACATATTAGAAATTTGTTTAGCAAAGACATGTAGCAGAATACATTTTGGACTAAATTTATGAAAAATATAAATTTTTTAAAAAATGTTTATTGAATATGTTTTATAACAAAAAGTCAAACATATTGGGAGTTTTTTTTTCGAACTTGACGGTCTCTGTTTGTTTAAAAAATGCAGTGGCTATGAAATACCACCGAAAGAAAGCTCTATTTGTGGGGAAAAAAAGGACAATTTCAGTTATGTAAAGCGTTGCATGACCGTGCAGTTGTCAGCAGGGGCGGACTCACCATTTGGAAACTCAGGCACTGCCCGAGGGCCTGGGGTCAGTAAGGGGCCCCATGAAATGCCCCTGATACCTTTTTTATAGGCTTTTTTTGAGTGTGGGCAAGGACACAGGGGCCCCATGATCCCCCTATTGCCCAGGGGCCCCATGAGTTGTCAGTCCGCCCCTGCTAGCCCCTATACCTGGAAATGCAAAATATTTACGTGATTTTGTGCAGCCCTGCCGCCCTGTAGCAGTATTTCTGCTATAGGGAGGCGGGCAAGTGGTTAATATTAAAGAGAAAAAAAACTTAAGGCCTCATTCACATGTATTTTCACAACTGCTGTTTTTGGCTTCTGGCATTTTTTTCTACACTACAGCCAGTAAACTCCCCAGCATGTTATCCTATGTGTCCATGCACACACAGGCTTTAATTAGCGTTTTTTTTTGCAGGGGTGTCTTCTGGCTGGAGAAAATCCCCCAGAACTAGTGGGTTTGAAAAGGAGTTTCTTAGTTATAAAAACACTCTAACACTGGTAAACGCGGTAAACTGGCGTTTCTGAGAGTTTTTTTGAGCCAAAATTTATTTTTTGAGTTAAAAAACACTATTGTGGGAAAACACGACTAAACGCTAATGCAAAAACGCAAAAATATGTGGAAAAAAAACGCATGTTTTTAACGCAACATACTATACAGCTTCCACCTTTTTAAAAATGCCCAGTGTGCATGAGGCCTTACAACCACTTTAACCACCTCCCACTTGTGACATCATTGCTTACTACATGTGAACTCTGTGAATGATCACAGAGGTCCCATGGTACAAGGCTATTCACAACAGCCTTCTACCATGTGACAAGCTGTGACCAATCAAAGCTCACTCAGTATTTCTCAATGGCTGCAAGAATGCAGACAAAAAGAAAGAGAAATGATTGCTTTTGCATCCTATATGGGTGTAAAATCAATCAGTGTAAAAAATCTTCATCACCCCCCACAAGTAGTACAGTGTCACATGGTGACACTGTACTGCTAGGGTGACAGTATGTAAAAAAAACCCATAAATAATAATATAAAAAAATAAATAAAAATGTAAAAAAAAAATTTAAAAATTATAATTTTTGGTTATAAACTAATTTTAATTTTTTTTTTTTTTTCTAAAAAGATAACAGAATAAATTTTGGACAAGATTTTTGATGAAATATTATTTATTTGCAAAATTTTTATAAGAAAAACACTTTTTTTCAAAATTTGTGGACATTTTCATTTACATAGCAAAAAAAATAAAAATCCCAGCGGTGAATAAATACCACCAAAATAAAGCTTCATCTGTCTCAAAAAAATGGTAAAAAATTCATATGGGTACAGTGTTGCATGACCGCGCAATTGTCATTCAAAGAGTGATAGCGCTGAAAGCTGAAAATTGCCCTGGACAGGAAGGGGGTAAAAGTATCCGGACAGGAAGTGGTTAAGTAAATCAGTCTCCTTATGTCCCCTTTTTCAAGTCTGCTTTAAGAACATGCAGGCTATGTGTACAAGTTCTGGCTTGTGGGGTGAGCACATATAAGTGACCCATGGTACTCCAGCAGCTAGCATCATGTTTACAATAACAAGTTCTTCTGGAAAGGTATGCGGAATGGCGGATTCATGCTGCGCCAGCTGTGTCCTCCTGCAGGATAAACCTGCTTATGCTTATTTTCTTTTCTAGAACCTGGCAGGGAATCTGCTGTTTGTTATAGGCTGCTTAAGCCCAGCAAATTAGAGGAAAGCCTGCACATCTCCCAGTTCAGGCTCTCTTCAGGAGGACAAGCCTGCCTTTGGGGGTAATTATTCCCATTCCTATCAGTTCCACAGAATAGAAATTCGAAAATCCCTGTTCTAGTGTTTTTATTTCCCCATAAACCGAGTGCCGTATCACATCTTGGAATATTTATCCTATGTGATAAAGACTGTGTAGAAGAAAAAATGTCTGTTCTACCCATAACAAGCTGTATGGTTCATACATATGCTATATTGCCACAAGTATTGGGCACCCCTCCAAATCATGTGATTCAGGTGTTCCAATCACCTCCATGGCCACAGGTGTATAAAATCATCACCTAGGCATGCAGACGGCTTCTACAAACATTGGTGAAAGAATGGGTCGCTCTCAGGAGCTCAGTGAATTCAAGCGTGGTCCCGTGATAGGTTTCCTTCCTGTGCAATAAGTCCATCCGTGACATTTCCTGGCTACTAAATATTCCAAAGTCAACTGTTAGTGGGATTATAACAAAGTGGAAGCAACTGGGAACAACAGCAACTCAGCCACCAAGTAGTAGGCCACGTAAAATGACAGAGACCAAAGCGTGGTCTCGTGATAGGTTTCCTCCTGTGCAATAAGTCCATCCGTGACATTTCCTGGCTACTAAATATTCCACGGTCAACTGTTAGTGGGATTATAACAAAGTGGAAGCAAATGGGAACAACAGCAACTCAGCCACCAAGTGGTAGGCCACGTAAAATGACAGAGCGGAGTCAGCACATGCTGAAGCACACAGTGTGCAGAAGTCAGCAACTGTCTGCAGAGTCAATAGCTAAAGACCTCCAAACTTCATGTGGCCTTCAGGTTAGCACAACAACAGTGTGTAGAGAGCTCCATGGAATGGGTTTCCATGGCCGAGCAGCTGCATTCAAGCCTTACATCACCAAGTGCAATGCAAAGCATCGGATGCAGTGGTGTAAAGCACAACGCCACTGGACTCTAGAGCAGAGGAGACGTGTTCTCTGGAGTGCCAATCACACTTCTCTGTCTGGCAATCCGATGGATGTGTCTGGGTTTGGCGGTTGTCAGGAGAACAGTACTTGCCTGACTGCATTGTGCCAAGTGTAAAGTTTGATGGAGGGAGGATTATGGTGTGGAGTTGTTTTTCAGGGGTTGGGCTTGGCCCCCTAGTTCCAGTGAAGGGAACTCTTAAGACGTCAGCATACCAAGACATTTTGGACAATTTCATGCTCCCAAGTTTGTGGTAACAGTTTGGGGATGGCCCCTTCCTGTTCCAACATTACTGAGCACCAGAGCACAAAGCAAGGTCCATAAAGACATGGATGAGCGAGTTTGGGGTGGAGGAACTTGACTGGCCTACAGAGTCCTGACCTCAACCCCATAGAACACCTTTGGGATGAATTAGAGTGGAGACTGTGAGCCAGGCCTCCTCCCCCGACATCAGAGCCTGACCTCACAAATGTGCTTCTGGAAGAATGATGTGTTCATGTGCGTGTAAAGGCAGGTGTTCCAATACATTTAGCAATATAGTGTATATTCATATCTGTATTACAGAAAGGACAGCTAGAGTCAGAAAGATGGAAACAAATATTTTAAACCGCGTGGGCCCACATTCACACCTTTGCGTCTTTTAATACATACATTTTCCGTTGATGCATTTTGATTCATCCTTACTATTTGTCCTATTGATGATTGTATGGAAAGTTGAACATTTTTGAGTTGCTACAGGGACAGGAATTGAGGGAAAAATCTTTGCAGTGGAAGCTTGGTCTGCTGACAACTGTCTAAGTCCCGCTTCACACTGCTGCGACGTCTGGTGTGACTTACTGCAACTTGGGACATAGAAAGTTGCAAGACAACTAAAAACACATTAATTTCAATGGGTGCCATCTATTTGCTGTGAATCAAGTTGAAGCAACAGAAAAAAATAGTTCCAGGACTACTTTTCTGCATCTTTGGTGTGACATACTGTAGGTGCCTTAAACTTCAATGTTAAAATCATAAAAGTTGTAGAGTATAGTGTCTTGAAAGAGTTCATGTTCATGTAGTCTGGTTCCAGTGCATTCCCAAAAATGAATCAGGCACCTTTTTAGTGCGGATTCAGTGTGATTTGAGCCATCAAAATTAACCACTTGCCTACAGGGCACTTATACCCCCTTCCTGCCCAGGACAATTTTCAGCTATCAGAGCTGTCACATTTTGAATGACAATTGCGCGGTCATGCAACACTGTACCCACATGAAATTTTTATCATTTTTTTGAGACAGATAGAGCTTTCTTTTCGTAGTATATAATCACCTTTGAGTTTTTTATTTTTACAAAAACAAAGCAAAACAACTGAAAATTTTGAAAAAAGAAAGTCTTTTCTTAGTTTTTGTTATAAAATTTTGTAAAGTGATTTTCTCCTTCACTATTGTGCGCTAATGAGGCTGCAGTAATGGACACTGATAGGCTGCACTGTTGGACACTGATAGGCTGCACTGATGGGCACTGACGAGGAGGCACTGGTAGGTGGCACTGATTGGCATTGATAGGTGGCACTGACTGGCACTGATAGGTGGCACTGAAAGGCAGCTCAGATGGGCACTGATATGTGGCATTGATGTGGCACTGATGGGCACTGGCAGGTGGCATTGATGAGCACTGACAGTTGGCATTGATGGACACTGACAGGTGGCACTGATGGGGCTACACTGATCATCAGGGCACACTGATCATCAGTGCCCTGATGATCAGTGTACATGTCCCCTCTGAGGAATGCCAATTACTGGCTCTCCTCTCCTCTGTCAGCGTGACAGCTCATGAGGAGAGAAATGCCGACAACTGGCATTTCCTTATTTACATGCCATCAGCTGTGATTGGACACAGCTGATCACATGACCAAGCTGGCGTCTTCGGCTCATTCCGTTGATCGGTGATCCACTGAGCACCACAGATCGCCATGCTGAGCACCCCCAGAGCCACGCACGTGCGGTTAGAGTGGGGGGACATCATATGACATCCTCCCAGAACGAGAGAACCTCCTTGCGCCTATCATTTCCTTATAAGGCGGGCGGGAGGCGGTTAAAGGGCTCAAATTGCACCACACAAAATCGCATGTAAATTGCACAGGAATGTGGTGTGGTTCCTGTGCGATTCACATGCGATCCACAGTGTGAGCCTAGGCTACAGAGTAACTTCACTTTTATTGAGAAAAAATAATCCTCCATTGCTAGAATTTTAGAAAATATTGTTGCAGAAAATATTGTCTGCCTGTTTCTGCTCTGAAGAAATAACTGGCTATTTCAATATCCAGTGCAAATCTGAATGGGAGTGATTTTCTCATTATTAGTCAGCTGCTGCACTTGCAGTGTTCTAACAAGGAAAGTTGCAGGGTCTGCATTCATTTAGCAATAAATAACCTTTTGGGAGTATCCGATCAAAAATGTGTGAGTGAGCCAAGCTCATGCAGCAATGAAAAGTCTGCTAGCAGCCAAATGTACATACAGTCCTCTCACAAACGGCCTCCACACCTCTTGTCTTCAGCCCAGAAAAACAGCAAGGAGCCACCCCTCCACTTTGCCCCAGTGCCTTGTGGTGTGTTCAGTTTACTCCTTCCAGCTCCTCAAGCCAGCTCAGTCTATCAGAACTACACCTCCCACAATCCTTTGTGCCTCCCTATCGGGTAGAGGGTGGGCTTAACACAGGTTCTGCAATAAGAGTCCCCTCCTGTAGCTGTTCCAGGGTAAAAGTCCCCTTTGCTGCACAGACACAGAGTCCTTTTCCTGCCAGAACTGCAGACTGGGCTACACTAAAAAAAAAAGGGCATAGGTAGCTGGGCACTGCCATAGAGAATATGTAGCAGTGCAAAAAGTACCATTCAACACATAGCTGGTCTTTTTAAAAGGATTAAAGGGCAACATTCAAAATACACAATTCCTCAATTCCTTTAAAATGCTTGAGGAATGCCTTAAGCCTGCATGTGGAGTGGCACACCTGTAGAATGTACTACTGCAAACATGACATTTAAGCCGGCCATAGACGGTTCAAATATTGTCCGGTTCAGCAGGGACTGGTATATGTATAGGCAGGCTGAATGTACCCAAGTTGATCGATCGATCAACTTGGGTACAACCGGCCTGCTGGATTTTACATTAAATTATCTCACACAATACCTCTGTAGGAGGGTTTCCCCTGTCAACCATGTCTGTGTTGATGGGGAATCGAGTGAAATTCTATGGCCTGCCTAAAAAAAACTATTACCATTAAATGGCATTTCCCAGCTGGTTTTGTTTGTACATATTATTATTTATTATTATTTTATTGAATTCATTTTTTAATGAGAAACCAGGGATACTGTGTGCCCCTTTCTCATTCACTAAGGAGGGATGCACATATCTGGAGGCCCCCTTATTTCAAAAGGGGCTTTCAGATTTTTATTAGTCCCTCTGAAGGCCCTCTTGTCAACCAGGACAGGTAAGTGGGAATAAAGACATTTGTCTTGGTTGTCCTGCAGGTAAGGTACCAACTCCATATTGAGGGCATGTGGCCTGGTATATTTCAGGAGGCGGGAGGCTGCCCCATCCCTTCCTAGCTAGACAGGCTGCATGCTTGGATAAGGATCTGGAATAGATTTTCAGGGGCCCCATGCTGTTTTTTTTTTTTCTTTCTGTGTGGGCTTTGTTTTTCTTCTTCAGGGCATGTGGTCTAGTAAAGTTCTGCAGTTGGGATCGCTGCTTTCCTCCTTTCCTAGCATAGACACCCAGACTGCACCAAAGGGTCTGGTATGGATTTTAAGGGGAACTCAACAAAGATGAACAAAAAAAGCAGGGAAGGCCCCCTAAAAATACAAACCAGACCCAGGCAAAACAATAAACTAGAGGCTCAGGAAGGGCGATCCTAAAGAATATAGCCATTTGGTTCACCATTGGCACTCTTCAAACAACTAACAATTGGGATGACCATCTGTTAACAGGAAGGTCAACCTTAGTTGTCATATATAACCATACACGTGCCCAGGACCATGGATAAGGGGAGTACCACCAGTCCTCCTGTATGGGGCCCAGGCCAGCAGGGGGGCCCTGGGTGATGTGGATGTGAACAGAGAGGGTGATTGGCCTGGAGCAAGGGGGGGGGGGGCAATTACTGGAACCAATCCGTTGTATGTCTCTCTGCAGCAGCTGAAAGCTGGCTTCTTCTCCTCTCACTCCCAACTGTCTTTTACCTGGTACAGAGAGAGCCATTCAGGGATCCGTCCCAGTAAATATCCCCCACCACAACCATCACCCTTCTGTGCAGCCTCATCAGTGCCTCCTCATCTGTACCCATCAGTGCCGCCTCATAAGTGCTCATCACTGCAGCCTATCAATGCCCATCATTGCAGTCTCATCAGTGAACATTAGTGAAGGAGAACAAATTTTTATTTGCAAAATTTTGTAACAGAAACTAAGAAAAACATTTTTTCAAAGTCTTTTTTCATTTGTTTAGCAAAAAAAAAAAAAACCCCAGTGCATGACCGTGCAATTATCACTCAGATTGCGACAGTGCTGAAAGCTGAAAATTGGCTTGAGCAGGAAAGGGGTAAAAGTGCCCATATCCTGCAAGAGATATCCCCATATCTAGCAAAGAGACAGGTTCATATCCAGCAAAGAGACAGGCCCATATCCAACAAATAGATAGCTCAATCCAGCAGACAACCCAGTCCAGCAAAGAGACAACCCCATATCCCGCAAGAGACAGCCCAATACTCAGCAAGAGACATCTCCCATATCCAGCAAAGAGACAACCCTATATCCAACAAGAGACAACCCCCTATCAAGCAAGAGACAGCCCCATATCCAGCAAGAGACAACCCCCTATCTAGCAAGAGACAGCCCCATATCCAGCAAGAGACATCCCCCTATCTAGCAAGAGACAGCCCCATATCAAGCAATAGACAGCCCCATATCCAGCAAGATAGATTCCCCATATCCAACAAGATACATTCCCCATTCCAACAAAGATACAGTCCCATATCCAGCAAAGAGAAAGCCTCATATCCAACAAAAAGATAGCCCCATATCCAGCAAGCAATAGCCCCATACCCTGAAAGAGACAGTCTCATATCAATCAAGAGACAGCTCCATATCCAGCAAAGAGACAGACCCATATTCAGCAAGAGACAATTCATTTACCAAAAAAGGCTAAAAGCTTGTCTCCCTCACAGTCAATCTGCTCCACACCTCTGCTATACACAGGGGCACCAAAATGTTCTTCCAGTCTGCAGGGAAAGGCTAAGCAGAGCGGAGTGCAGTTTACGGCATCTTCTGCTCTGTCAGGCTGCAGCTGGAGTTGAGCTATATTGCTTGCTTGCCTGCCCTCCTGCCTGCTCCACCCGCTCTGTTATATTATCACTCGCACAAAAAGAGGCACTATGAAAGCCTGAGCTAATTATTTCTAGCACTGTATTGGTTCCAACAAAATTACATTTAAAAATATATATTTTTTACATTTCTGCCAATTTGTGCTTGCGTGGAATTCCTCCGGGTGCTCCGGTTTCCTCCCACACTCCAAAGACATGCTGGTAGGTTAATTGGCTCCTGTCTAAATTGGCTCTAGTATGTGTATGTTTATAAATTAAGTCCTTCCTGGGGAACACACAGAATTCTTCCTGGATCTCAGTACGTGATGATGTCACAGGCACAGACTCCATCCGACGCATTTCATCAGAATTGACATCATCTGGGGCTTAGCTAGGAAGTATTCTGTGTGTTCCCCAGGAAGGACTTTTATGAGAAGCGCTTTTATTCTTGAGATTCTGCAACTGTTACTTATTGAAATAGTGGAACCCCAAGGCTACCTTAACATCTACCATATGGGAGGAGGAGTGGATAGCCCCTAATGGGCTGAAGGAGATAGTGATCAGCTGTGGAGATGTCTCAATAAACACGCAGTTTTAGGGTTCATGTACAAGGGGCATTTGGAAAACTCTTCTGAACGATGGAAACTGACTGCTGGAAAACGCCAATTTAGCCGCGTCTGCATAACGCATTTAGCTGCGTTTATGTACGTTTGCGTTTAGAAGGGTTTTTAAAAAATAACCTCAGGAGACCCTCCAAATGCCCAGAATGCACTGAAAAATAGTAAATTCTCTAAAAAAGGCTACTAAAATACTGCATGAGTTATTTTATCAAGTCAAGTCATGCGGTATTTTAGTAGTGAAAAGCATGCATTAATGTTTCAGCTGTCAGCGGGGTTCCCCACTGAAAGCTGAATGCAAAAGAAAGAATTGCCGTCAATTAAAAAATAATAAAAAAATGGCATGGGGTCTCCCCTTCCATCCATACCAAGCCCTTCAGGTCTAGTATGGATTGTGAGGGGAAGCCCCATGCCAACATTTAAAAAAAATGACGTGGGGTTCCCCCCAAAATCCATACCAGAACCTTATCCGAGCATGCAGCCTGGCAGGTCAGGAAAAGGGGGCGAGCGCCCCCCCCCCCCCCCTCCTGAACCATACCAGGTCACATGCCCTCAACATAGGGGGGGGCTTTGATGAGGCCCTTGTCCCCATGTTGATGGGGACAAGGGCCTCTTCCCACAACCCTGGGTTGTGGTTGTGGGGGTCTGCGGGCAGGGGGCTTATTGGAATCTTGAAGCCCCCTTTAGCAATGGGGCCCCCAGATCCCGCCCCCCCTCCCATGTGAATGAGTATGGGGTACATGGTATCGCTACCCATTCACAAAAAAAAAAATCTGTGACAAGTCCTTTAATAAATTTGACAAGTCCTTTAATTAAAAGAATGCCCCCCAAACTAAATCCAACGTCAATACGATGTCATGTCATGTCCCCCACCGCCACTGTCGCTCCGAAAGATGAAAAAAAAAAAAAAAAAAGGCTCCGCTACCGACGCTGGCCCCCTGCTGTCTGCTCAGAAGCTGGTTTGGCAGTTCTTAAATATGTACGGGGCGGGGCCACCCAGTGACATCACCCGTGTGACCCCTCCCATGTGACATCATCGAACGGGGCATGCTGGTCACTGATGTCACACAGGGGCGGGGTCACATACGTGATGGCCCCACCCCTTACATATTTAAGAACTGTCAAACCAGCTTCTAAGCAGATGACTGGGGCCAGCATCAGTAGCAGAGCCTTTTTTCTTTTTTTTTTTCTTTGGAGTGGCGGTGGCAGCTGACATCGTGATTGACGTTGGATCTACTTTGGGGGACATTCTTTTATTAAAGGACTTGTCAAAGAATGACTCCTGTCCTTTTTTACACTACAGCTTTTTTTTGCAAATGGGTAGCAGTACCATGTACCTCATACTCATTCACCTAGGGGGGGCCCTCTTGCTAAAGGGAACTTCCAGATTCCAATAAGCCTCCACCCACAGACCCCCAACAACCACAGCCCAGGGTTGTGGGGAAGAGGCCCTTGTCCCCATCAACATGGGGCAAGGTGCTTTGGGGGGGGAGCTCCCCCTACCCCAAAGCAACTCCCCTGGTTGAGGGCATTTGGAATGGTATGGTTCAGGGGGGGGCGCTCACCCCCCCTTTCGTGACCTGCCGGGCTGCATGCTCGGATAAGGGTCTTGTAAGGATTTTTGGGGGGAACCCCTCGTCATTTTTTTTTTTTTTTTTTGCCTTTCGGCTTCCCCTCAAAATCCATACCAGACCCAGCAATTCTTTCTTTTACATTCAGCTGTCAGTGGGAACCCCACTGACAGCTGAAACATGACGTATGCTTTTCACTACTAGAATTCTGCATGACTTGATAAAATCATGCAGTATTTTATTAGCCTTTTTTAGTGGATTCAAATGTTTTTTTTTAAAAATGCACTTCACACCGCAATTTTGGGGTGTTGTTAACATAACATACACACAAGCAACTGTTCGCATGAACAGGGTGCAATTGTGATGCAGTGCGGAATTCGCATAGAAAACGCTGCAAAATCCGGACTTCATCAGAGTAAACCCGGGCTGAGGGCAGGGACTGTGAATGTACAATATATATTAGGACTCTATGCACACTAGCTTATTTTTAAGTTCCTAGCAGCTAGTTATGAGCATTTTCTTCTTCCCCTAGTGCCATAGTGTTATCCTATCTGTCCATGCACACTATTGTAGGCTAGAAGCATTTTTCAAGCTTCAAGGAGCAGAAAAAAACACAATTTTTGCATTTTTGGGAGCAATTTGCAGCAGAAAAAAATACTGTACTCTTAAACGCTAATAAAACGCTTCTAAAAGTTTTTTTCTAGCTTTTTTTTCCTGCATGTACTGTAAAAATGCTAGTAAAATGGTAATGCTCCTAAACGTTACTAAAAAAACACTGTTGCCAGCATTTTTTTATCCAGCTTTGTTTAGCTTGGATAAAACGCTAGTGTGCGTGGAGCCTTAAAGCACTGCGTAAATTGATGGTGATATATAAGTACATGTAATTTAGTAAATAAATACATTTGTCAGCCTAAAAAAAAAAAAAAAAACAGGGAACTTATTAAAACTAAATAAAAGCGGTATGTGTTTTTAGAACAATGTAAAAATTATTAAAGTTGTATTAACCACTTCCTGTCCGGACACTTTTACCCCCTTCCTGTCCAGGGCAATTTTCAGCTTTCAGCGCTATCACACTTTGAATGACATATGCGCAGTCATGCAACACTGTACCCAAATGAATTTTTTACCATTTTTTTGAGACAGATAAAGCTTTATTTTGGTGGTATTTATTCACTGCTGGGATTTTTATTTTTTTTGCTATGTAAATGAAAATGTCCAAAAATTTTGAAAAAAGTGTTTTTTTTATAAAATTTTGCAAATAAATAATATTTCATCATAAATCTTGGCCACAATTTATTCTGTTGTCTTTTTAGTAAAAAAAAAAATCCAAATTAGTTTATAACCAAAAATTAAAATTTTTAAACATTTTTTTTTACATTTTTATTTTTTTTTTTTATATTATTTTTTATTTTTACATACTGGCACCCTAGCAGTACAGTGTCACCATGGTGACACTGTACTACTTGTGGGGGGTGATGATATATATATATATTTTTTTTTTTTACACTGATTGCTTTTACACCCATATAGGATGTAAAAGCAATCATTTCTCTTTCTCTCTGTCTGCATTCTTGCACTCATTGAGAAGTACTGAGTGAGCTGTGATTGGTCACAGCTTGTCACATGGTACAAGGCTGTTGTGAATAGTCTTGTACCATGTGACCTCTGTGATCATTCACAGACTTCACAGGTAGTAAGCAATGATGTCACAAGTGACATCTTGCTTACTACTTTACATGTGATCACTGATTGGACCAATCAGTGATCACATGATCGGGACCTCGTACAGAGGTCCCGTCCGACGATCGATGTTCCACTGTGTCCGGAGGACACAGCGGGCACCGGATCGCGGTGCTGCGCGCTCCCAGGGAGCGCGC